GCTGAGTATGAAGGAAAGTACGACCCCAAAATATTGGATGATATTGGGAAAGTGATAACGAGTTTGGATCCAGGGGATTCGATTGTCGTGACAAAATCGTTCTCCCACATGCTTAACTTGGCTAATCTGGCCGAGGAGGTTCAGATCGCGTATCAGAGGAGGATCAAGTTGAAGAAGGGGGACTTCGCCGATGAATGTTCGGCGACGACCGAGTCCGACATTGAGGAGACACTCAAGAGGCTTATAGGCCAATTGAAGAAGTCTCCTCAATAAGTTTTTGATGCTCTCAAGAATCAGACTGTGGATTTGGTCTTCACTGCCCATCCTACTCGGTCAGCTCGAAGATCGTTGCTTCAAAAGCACGGAAGGATCCGTAGTAGTTTGACTCAGTTGTATGCTAAAGACATTACACCTGACGATAAACAGGAACTCGATGAGGCGCTACAGAGGGAGGTATGAATATGCCAATGCTGGTTATTTCAACAAAAGCTACAAGTTCAATAAAATATTGTTCAGCAAGTAACTATGAACCTTGCAAAACAAGGAAACCTTATATTGCTTAGTTTCATACAGATTCAAGCTGCCTTCAGAACGGATGAGATCCAAAGAAATCCTCCCAGCCCATAGGATGAGATGAGAGCAGGAATGAGCTACTTCCATGAAACCATCTGGAAAGGTGTACCGCAGTTTTTGCGTCGTATCAACGCTGCTTTGAAGAACATAGGGATAAATGAAAGTGTTCCCTACAATGCCCCCTAATTCAATTCTCTTCGTGGATGGGAGGGGATCGTGACGATATGCTTATTTTCCGCACGACATTTAATCGTAAGACCTGCAAGTGTGAGATGTCCATTTGATGTGGTATGCAGGGAACCCCAGGGTAACTCCTGAAGTTACAAGAGATGTATGCTTATTGGCTAGAATGATTGCTGGTAACTTGAACTTCTTCCATATAGAGGATCTTATGTTTGAGGTATTAAAGAGACTTTTTTTCTTCCATCTGGTTACGGTGTTGTAGTTCATGATTTATCACGGTTTCGATTGATTCTTCTTGTTTGTTTTGTTTTCAGTTATCAATGTGGCGATGCACCAATGAACTCCGTGTTCATGCAGATGAACTTCTTAGGACTTCAAGAAAAGATGCAAAGCATTACATAGGTTCTAAGTCTTTAAGATGTGTTTTAGTAGTGCTTCCTGAAGAATACACTGGTTTGATATGATTGACTGGACTGGATTAATATTATGAAATGTTGCGCAGAATTTTGGAAACGGATTCCTCCAAATGAGCCCTATCGTGTTATTCTCAGCGACTTGAGGGAAAAGCTGTACAACACACGTGCACGTGCTTGTAGCCTACTGGCCGATGGGTAGTCGGAAATTCCTGAAGAAGCAACTTGCACCAATGTGAAGCTGGTCTCTTCTTTTAAAAACCCTTCAAATCAACTTCATTTCCATTTTATTCTGTAGAATGTAGAATTGCGTTATTCTTAATATGGACTGGTTAAGATTAACGTAATTCTACAGGTGTAACCCACAGTTGTTTCTTATTTCCCATGCATGCCCTTTTCCTATTGATTGTCCCAAGTGTAGTGACTTTCAAGGGCTGAATTTTTTCATCTAATAAATCCTATATTATTATTTCTTTTCATATGATAAAGAATCTACCTATACAGTGAGTACATAATAATTCATCAGCACAACTCTCAACTTCTGTTTTAACGTTTTTTTTTTAGTTCAAAATCACGGTTTGGGATTTAAAATATAAGTTTAGTATTTAAGGTTTGGATTAATACAAAATAAGTACTTAAACTATACCTCAAAATACGATTTAATGCCTATACAATTTTTGCTAAAAATAAGTGTCTAAAGTTTTATCCGATACACTTTTAGGTGTCTACTGTTATATTTTTTAAAATAATAAAATATTATTTTTTTTAAAAAAATATAAAAAATAAACTCCCTTTCCCTCGTCGCCCCACCTCCAACGTCAAATAGTCACCATTGGTTGGGTTTTATTCGGAGCACGATAAGGAACACAATAGTAGGGTCCGTGTAATGTATAGATGGTTGTAGCCGTCAAAATTATAAAAAAAAAATATAAACATAAAACCTAAAAATTTGGTGACCCTTGATGGCATTTTTCACGACGATCGACGTAATTTCACGATGGGTAGAGATTGAGTTTTGGTCGTGATGGCGAGGTTCTAATGGTGTCAACGGTGATGGCCACAGATCGACAATAGTCGACCCGAGACAAAAAATGTAAATTTTGGGGGGTTTTTTTTATTATAATATTAATTTTTTAAAATTTTATATTTGTGACATGTATCAGATAATGATCGGATTTAATGATCATTATGGTCCAGACACCTAAAAATATAACATTAGAAACGTTAGAAACTATTTTTAACGAAAATTCTTTACACACCGCCAAATCATATTTCGTGATATAATTTAAATACTTGTTTTTTATTAATCATTAAGGTTTTTTTTTTACAAAAGGTATAGTGATTGCTTATTATTTAAATATCGATGACATTTTTTTATATTTAGGGTTTAAATATAACATTTAATATTTATATTGAACTATAAATAAAAAATAAAATTATATGGATTGCTTTGGTATATGACATTTCTCATAAGAATAACAGTGTGAGGAAATTATTTGTAAGGCTCGATCGATCAACCGAAAATCGTCAAGAGGGGGTGAATTGACCTTTAAAAATCTTAAGTGTGGAAGCAATAAAAGATAGAAAATTTGGTACAATGATTTATAGTTGTTCGACTTCTCAACCGAGTCTACATCTACTACCTTAGTTCCACACTAAGGATTTTCTAACAAATTCACTAATTTGTTCTTACCTTTCAAAGATAAGGTTTAAAGCTAAACTGAATCACTCCTCTTTTAAAGGTTTTATTAACAAAAATACTTCACTAGGTAGGTATTCATAAATATTTAAGCTCACAAAGAATGAATTCAAAGATATTCAATAAGGCTCAATTCAATATATATAAGAGAAAATCGAAAAATAAGAATGAAAGATACTTTTCCCTTGATCTTTAAGCTTGGATAGGTGTTGTATCCTTCTTCAAATGTCTCTTTGTTGTTTTTATCAGTTGAAATGTATTTCTAACCATTTATGACCGTTGGGGATGAATTATAACCATTGGAAACTTTGTGAAAGTATCGAAACTTGTAAACACGTTATTTTTAAAAGTTTCGAAACTTTGATGAAAGTTTCAGGGTGCAAAGTTTCAAAACTCTTACAAAAGCTTCGAAACTCTTTACAAAAGTTTCCAAACTCTTACAATTTCCAAACTATAATCAGTACCTGTATATGAACAGTGTCATAAACAGTATCAAATACTGACTGAATAATGTTTTTCATATTTTAAAAGCTTTAAACATGTTTTAATTAACTCAAAAAATATTTCATATATATAAAACAATTTAGAACACATATTTTTCAAGATATTTTAGACTTTGAATTATTTGATTAAGTTTAAATTAATTTTACAAATATTTGTTATATCAAAATATAAGTTCAACAATCTCCTCTCTTTTATATAACAAAACTTCTTTGAAAAATTGTTTTTGACAAAAGCTACCTTTTAGATAAATATATTTTGAAAAAGAAAATTTATTAAAAATATTTAAGCTCCCCATTTTTCTTTGAGAAATTTAATTTTTCACTTATTTCTCCTTTTTTTTATTATATAAAAAATAATTCAACAATGGAGAATAAGTTAAATAAAAAAAATTCAAGAATATAAATCATTTAAAAACAAGGTTTCCCTTTCATTAAAGCATTTCATGAAACGTTTTGACACAAAAAGACTAATGCACTTAAGAAGAATATTGAATTTCAATGAGAGAGTATGCTGATAAGCGTATAAAATATTCAATAAAGTAGTATTGATTATATGTAAGTTATTTGAATTAAAACCCGAAAGAAGAAGAAGATGAACATCAACTAGCTATTTTACCTTTTTTATGCAATAGAAACGTGTACTATCATTTGCTTTGTGAATACTCATGGCATCTCAGAGCTTTGCTCTTCAAAAATGCACGATCAGATGTAACATTCTCGGAAACGAACAATGATAAACTGAGGTTACTCAATAAGTTCAATAATTAGTTAAATTTAAATAATATTTATAATAAGATTAAATAATGGACTCATCATAGATAAGGTTTCTTAACCATAGGTAGATATCGACCTTGTATAAACAATTGTTAGCTTTTTATTAATGTTTGTCTGGGCTATTGAATTTTTTAAATATATTAATTTTATTATGAAATTATATTTATAAAATTATATTATAAGTATTATAATATTATATCATAAAATTAATATCATCTGCACTTTAACATATATATTATTTTTTTTAAAATTATAACAAGATTTCAAGTTGACTCGATGAGTAGACCGATCTTTTTTCTGTTGGAATTTTTATGTATATTTGATGGTATAATATTAATTTATCGTAAAAAGATATATAGAAATATTATATCATTATAAAGATAAAAATATCGTTTACGTCATCACACTATCATGTCATTAAAATTTAATATTTCGATGTTATAATCAAAATTTTAATTATATTTTTAATGTAGTTCATTCTAAATTATACCATTAATTCTAAAATTAATGAAAATTTCATTAAATTCAATTATGAAACAAATAAATGTATGGTACTAAATCCTCGCTTTTTAGTGTAGAGAATGGAAAAATTAACCTTGAAGATTCTCCAGCCGTACTTGAGTTTGACAAAAGCATATAGACACAAAGGTGACAAGTGACGAGAATTATCTAAAAGCACATACATAGGTTAAATACATTGGACGATTGCTTCAATGAAGATGCATACTTGGTTTTCCCACTCTAATATTGTCCCACATTAATCTTTAAAACTATATATACATTTCCCACGAAGAACACCAGTCTTCAATTACAGTGAATCAAGGTTTTTGAGGGATTAATTTGAAGAGCATTAGCATGGCGGATAACAAGGAAGGGGGCACCGTGAAGAAAGGTCACGACGAAGGAATGAAAGTGGCGGTGGGTCTTTTGAAAGAGATGGAGCTGCCGGAGGGGCTTCTGCCTCTGGCCAACGTCGTGGAAGTGGGGTTCGTGAGAGAGACCGGGTACATGTGGATCGTGCAGCAGAAGAAAGTGGAGCACGAGTTCAAGATGATCAGCAAGCTGGTGAGCTACGACAGCGAGATCAACGGGTTCGTGGAGAAGAAACGGATCAAGAAGCTCAAGGGAGTGAAGGCCAAAGAACTGATGTTGTGGCCACCGGTGAACGAGATCACGGTGGACGATAAACAACCAGGGAAGATCCATTTCAAGAGTCTTGCTGGGATTACCAAGACCTTCCCCGTTCAGGCTTTTGCTGCGGGGCAGTGAGATTAGACGAGACGAGATGCTCAAATTTGTCTCGGACCATTTGCTTGGGATGAATAATAATGTTTCTTTTTTTAATTTTAAATAAATTAAATATGAAACAAAAAGGAGATACATGATTAAAAGTTAATCATGTTGCTAATCTTGCTTTTCATCAACTCTCTTCTTATATGTTCTTCATATACAATTTCTTAACCATGAAGCGTCCCCAGATTAGTTGCATTAATTCTACTACCCTTATCTCCCTTTCTATATATATAATAAAACAATTATTGCATCATTAAAATTATATTTTCAATGCAAAAATAAATATAATAATATATTGTACATTATTATTTTATGAAAATCAAATGGTAAATTAATAACACTGCTCATATTTAACATTGCTCGTGTTGATTTTACCTTGTAATGTAATTTAGAGAAACACAATTAATCATTTGTCTAATGATAGATTATTAGTACGTTTGTACATAACACTTACAAACACATTTTAATAAATCAAATATTTTTAGTTAGGAAAATTGTTTAACTAATTTATTATAATTTCATCTTGAACTAAATCATAAGATTATAACCATATTCTTAAGTTTTAAAATCGATTTTACTAGTTACTAGTTTATCTTGAATTCAATCATAACCTTTACCATATCGAACTTTTGGGTACATATTTTTATCTAATAATCAGTTTAAATTAAAATAACCAAATTGATAAGAAAAAAATTAAATATTAAAAATTTATTAAATTAAAATAAATTTGATAAAATGTGTAAATTTTAAAAATAAAATTATTATTATATTATTCCACATCATCATTTTCGTTATGTTGATAGTAAAACTTAACAATGACGAGATGCCAAATACTTAGCTTAGCCAAATATTAATATATAGAAATGACGCTTTCTCATCAATCAAAATTGCATCGAACAGATTACTATAAGTTTTGTAGGAGTACAAAATCACAATGAGTGGTCTGCCTCATTAATGTTTTTGCTCGCATTGCAGGTAAACGGGATATCCTAGTGACAGTAGAGCTTGATTGTTGAATCAGCGCCTGCAGTGAATAACCATGGCTGCCTTGGATGGAACGTACATTCCAGTACTCCTGCAATCAACCAACACCACATTTACATTACAAGTATATGCACACTTTGTTCATTTGGAAAATGTAAACTATGATGTCCAAACCATGCTGTAAAACCAACCAAACTCACCTCTTCCATCTGAACTACTATGCCCTCTAAGAATTTCCAACGGCACAATCCGAGGATTCTCATTAAGATCCGCGTAAACCATGCCATAAACACATAGGCAGTGCCATCGTCCGAGCACGATGCAAATAGAGGATATGATCGATGGAATGCCACATTCGTAATGTCTTTACAATGACAACTGAAATGCTCAGGAAAAAGAATGGTGTGAAGGTTACAACCAATATAAAAACCATGACAGAAGACCGGCCTGAAAGTTCTGATATGAAAATTCTACACCTGCACACTTGCTAATTTAAATAGTCGTCATTGCTCAAACAATGATTATACTCGGTTAAATGGTATTTAATGACTTCACACCGATTAGCAAAAGAACTTGATGAAGACATATCTATATCAGTTTCACGAGATCAAAGAATATTTAATTAAAAGTTGTGTTTATCAAGAGAACCATGGTCACATACTCGAGGTTTTGGTAAGGTTTTGAAGACAGATCCATATCAAACCAACGCAATTTCCCCTCTTTGCTCCCCACAATTACATTATCACCTGCAGATGAAAGAGGCATCAAATATTAAGAAGACTGATGGGATTGTAGCAACGAACGAAATCAGAGATAAAAAGAGGGAGAAAATACCAGCAGGATGAACAGAAATTGATGATACTTCACGCAGTTGAGTCTCGAGCTTTTTTATTAGCTTTTGCTTCAACATATCATACACACGAACATTCTTCTTTGTTGCAACGGAGAAGATAGGACGAGTAGGATGAAAAGCCAACGACACTGGGAGGCCATGCAGCTTAAAAGGGAGTCGCTGAGTAAGCCTCTTAGAGAGTTGATGTATGAGAACTGCTCTTGATTCACGTGATTAAATGGCTGTCCCTTTTTCCCATATGTATGGGGTAAGGGGAAGGTAAGATAGTAGGCTACCCCTAATACCAGGTTGAGAGCAGCTTCCGTAAGAGACCTCCGAATTATGAAATGGCCTCCGTGAGACTCGATCCCACGCCCTCAAGATTAAAAACCTTGTACTCTACCAACTGAACTGGATGATCATTTCGATTCACGTGATTAACAAGTTAAGAAAACCAATGAAATGACAAAATGAATTAAATGGGAGCAAAAATTTCTTATATCAAGCTTCAATAACATAAGAAGAGTTTATCAAAACAAGAACAAATAAAAATAGGCAAAAGAAATGAGTAGACCCAAGGGCCAGGGGCAAAACTCCTAAAATGGTAAAATAGTTTGTAAGTCCCTCTAAAAATCATAAAATTATAAGTTACTACATGGTGAAATTGCATTTTGACCCCTTTAAAAATGAGAAATCTGTGATTTCATCCTAAAAATTGTTAACTTATAAAGCTGATATAGTGATAAAATTGTATTTTTGACTCCTATAAAAATTTATAATTCAATTTTAACCCACCCCCCAAAAAAAATCTGGCGGACTCCAGTGCAGAGACTTCAGGAAACACCTTCATATTGCTTTTTTAACAATAACTATTGTATATGATTTTTTTTTGGCAAACTATATGACACCAATTGATGCTTAGAAGTTAGAACAGAAGAAAATGTAATGGTAGATGACATTGAGAAAAGAATATCTGCCGGCATCAAAGCAGAAAGATAATCTCCTTTACGATGCCATACTACTGAAAATACAGTCTGCAAAGCCACATACAAGCAAACGGTTATCATATTCCTATAAAGCATTGCAACCAGTCCTCTGGTTCAACATTATTAGGTAATTCTAAGTGCAAACAACGGAAGAGGGAGGAACAGAAACCAAGTACCCTATAATGCCTTAGCCAGATGCAGTCATGCTTTTCATCTTGAAGTCAGCTTAAGTAAGATTACATATCATCTGTGAATTAAAGTGATATTTTCCAGAGTCGGACCATATCCTTTATTCAATACATTGAAAATAATAAATGTTTCAAACAGACCAGAGTCATCAGAGGTTGGTGTTCCAATATGCAGAAGATTCATAATTTCTTTATGTTCTTCCTCATTGCCAAATACAGTGTTCAAAATAAGAACATCAGCTCAGCTGTCAAACATTATAGTCTTAGCATGGAACACGGTCAGCAAATGACGTCATTTGAAGAAACAGGTAGTGAAAAAGAGGATACAGAAAGCAGAGTGAAATTAATTACAATCTAATCAGCCTTACGCTGAAACTGCCAGAATAGGACGTGCTGGCAAAGGATTCCATGCGACATGCTGAACCGCTTCACCAATCTCCCAAACTCTAAGACATCTGCCAGTCTCCACCTCCTAAATAAGCACAGTTCCATCCTTGGAACCTTTGCAAACATAAGAAATTATCAAACTCTGGTGTACTGATTTTATAGAGAGGAATCATCTTATTTTTTACCACAAATCATAGTTTATAGGTAAATTGTTCTTACCGGATGCAATCCATTGCCCTGAAGGTTCCACAGATATTGATAAAACTGCACCCTCATGACCTTCATACTCCAAATAACACGCAAATGGATAAGGCCTAAGATCCTTTTTATTAAGTAACTTGGGCTTGAGGGATTCAGGGTCGATATTGATATGAAGCACAGAAAAGGGTAATTTAGATTAACTTGGCTTTCATCAGGGTTTTAAATTGCGTCCGCGGTCACATTTTCGGTCGCGTCACGTTTATCAAAGTTGCAGTCATAACGGATGTCATTGCGGTCATTGTGGGTATCACAATCGTGAATTTTTTTAAATGACGCACAACTTACTCTAAAATGACTAAAATAAATATAATTAAAATAAAATTGTAAAATTTAAATTGCATAAATTTATATTACTGAAATTAAGACTAAATTAAATAAAAATTAAAGTTTACATTTTAAACTAGGGATTAAAATATAAATTCTAAAAGCGAGATGGATCTAAAATTAATATATCCTTTAAAATTATATTTTAAAAATTATTAAAAATAAATAAATCTCCCCTTCTCCAACCTTTCTTTCTCCCTTCCCCGATCTTTCTGGTTTTGCCTCCCACTTCCTCCTTCCCCATCATTGTCTGAAAAAAAAACTGCGTCACGGTTGAATAACGATTGTTACGTCCCGTTATCGGCATAATCGTCCGTTTCCCGTTAAATTACGGGCACAATCGACTGAGATTGGTGTGAATCCGTGACCCACCGTAAAAACCATGAAAATCGATTTCGGATGGTAACGCGACCGCAATATCACGACCGCTATCACGTTTTCGGAACGATATTTTATATCCTAGCTGTGACATCGAAATGGTGTAAAGGATTATGCCAGAAATCATTATGATTTCCTTCAAACAAAATCGCAGACTCACACGTTTCTTCCGCACCCTAGGACACAAGTATAGATCCAAGCACCTTTCAAAAGAGTTCTTGACAGCATTCTCATATGCTGGGATACTTCTAAAGGAAATGAACCTAAGCATATCAACATGATTAGTATGCTAGATATTCAACTCTCAAACTTACAAGCAAGTAAAAGTGTAGATACTTTCAAGTGACTTTGTAATTAACAAATCATGTGTTAGTACAGTACAAATGTAGATACTTTCAAGTGAAATTGTAATTATCAAATCATGTGTTAGTACATTACCTTTTAGGTATAAATTTAGGGCGATCTTCTTCGTACGTCAGCTGATAAGAGTTTATCTCTTCTTGTGTTGGTATGTATTCTAAAGAAGGATTATATGATTCCTCATGACCTAAAAATCAATAAGAGCAAAGCTTTCATAATAGTTCAAATAGCATAGAAAAATGCAAGTTCAAATAACATGGCCCAAAGCCAAACCTG